TGTGCACGAACAATGAATCATGGAACACTTCATCTAGAACTAATGATGTAATGTATGGGGATTAACATAAGAATAAAAAAAAAAAAATGAAAAGATGCTAGACAGTGACTTGAAACCATAGGAAAATAGAAAGTTCTCCAGTAAAGGTAAATGTCAAAAAGAATGAAATCTTGCCATTCTCAACAATGTGGATATAACTAGAGGGTATTATGCTGAGCAAAATAAGTCAGTCAGAGAAAGACAAATACCATATGATTCACTGATATGGGGTATTTAAGAAACAAAACAAATGAACATAGGGAAAGGGAAGGAAAAATAAAATAAGATGAAAATTGAGAGGGAAGCAAACCATAAGAGATGCTGTACTCTAGGAAACAAAGTGAGAGTTGCTGGAGGGGAGGTGGGTGGGGGTAAGGGGTAATTGGGTGATGGGCATTAAGGAGGACACTTGATGTAATGAGCACTGGGTGTTATATGCAAGTGATGAATCATTAAATACTACCTCTTGAAACTAATTTAAAAAAAAAAGAAAATTGTAGGGGTGCCTGGGTGGCTCAGATGGTTGAGTGTCTGCCTTCGGCTCAGGTCGTGATCCCAGAGTCCTGGGATCGAGCCCCACGTAGGCTCCCTGCTCAGTGGGGAGCCTGCTTCTCCCTCTCCCTCTGCCATTCCCTCCACTTGTGTTCTCTGGCTCTATTTCTCTGTCAAATAAATAAGTAAAATCTTTTTAAAAAATATAAAAACCAGTATTATTCTAATTTTAATTTATAAATCTACTTCTTTTTTACAGGACTCAAAAGACAAATGCATGAAAATAATTACTAATCTATATTAATGAGGACACAACATATAAAGATTTGACTTGTGACATCAATAACATACAGAGAGGTGGAGCTATAAAGGAGTAGTTTTTGTGTGTGAAGTTTAGTTGGCACCAATATAAAATAGAATGTCATAACTTTAGGACAGTATTTGTAATCTCCATGGTAACCACAATGAAAATATTTATAGAATATACACACAAAAAAATGAAAAGGGAATTAAAACTTGTCACTATAAAAAATCAACTAAATACAAAGGAAAATAGTAACAGAGGAAATATGGGAGAAAAAAGCTACAAAACATAGAGAAAATAACAAAATGACCAAAGTAAATGTTTCCCCATCAGTAATTCCTTTAAATGTAAATGGATTAAACTCCCCAATGAAAAGACCTAGATTTAGAATTGAACAACACTATAGATCAAATGAACCTAACAAATTATATATAGAGAACAGCCCATCCAATAACACAATACACATTTTTCTCAAATGTATACACATGGAATATTCTCCAGGACAGATCATATGTTAAGCCACAACACAAATTTTAATAATTTTAAAGACTGAAATCATACAATGTATCTTTTCCAATCACAATAGAATGAAACTAGAAACCAACAGCAGAAAGAACACTGAAAAATTCACATTTCAAATTCCAGAAATATGTGAAAATTAACACACTCTTAAAAACAACTAATGATTAAAAGAAGAAATAACAGGGAAATCAGGAAATATCTTGAGACAAATGAAAATAAAAATTCAACATAAACTTATGGGATGCAGCAAAAGCAATGCTAAGAGGGAAATTTAGAGCTGTAAACACATTAAAAAGGAAGAAAGGTCTTAAGTCAACACCTAACTTTTCACCTTAGGGAACTAGAAAAAAGAAACAAACTAAACTGAAGGGTAGCAGAAGGAAGGAAATATTAAAGATTAGAACGGAAATAAAAAGAGATAATAAAAAAATAGAGAAAAAGCAACAAAACCAAGAGTTAGTTCTCTGGAAAGATTAACAAAATTGACAAACCTTTAGTAAGATTAATTAGCATAGCAGCATTATTCACAACAGGCAGAAGCAACCTAGGTGTCCTTGATGAATGAATGGATGAACAAAATATGATACATACAAAGGATTATTATTCAGTCTTAGAAAGGAAGGAAATTCTGACACCTGCTACACGTGCTACAATGCGGATGAACCTTGAAGACATGCTAAGTGAAAGAAGCCAGTCATAACAGGACAAATACTGTATGATTCTACTTATATGAAGTACCTAAAATGGTCTATTTCATAGCAACAGAAAGTAGAATGGTGGTGGCCAGAGGTTATGGAGAGGGGAGATAG